AAGAGTGGGCGGCTTTGTGTAGCATTTGCAGGGTGCGGTGTCAGCCCTGTCCCCTGGCGAAGGACCTGTGACATGGCATTTGCCATTTCACTTATCTACATCCTGAGTGTCACTCAGGTTTCAGGGAGGAAGCAGTCAGGTTCTCAGTTAGCTGTAAAAGCGCTGCTGTTCACTCACGTGGAGGGTGCCGCTGCCACAGCAGCATAAGGGCATCGGAAAACAAAGTTCACAGCTAAAAATACCGTCTCCTACACTTGGAAAAAGTAGATGAGACCCAGGAACAAAAGCCACAGGTCTGCCTCAACCACAGCTCTGTCTCAGCTCAGATTCAGGCCTCCGCACTCTGAGGTTTATTTACTTTTTTCAGTGACAGGTGTTGAGGCAATGGCTATAAGTTCCATTTCAGGGAGCCTACAAAGCAGTCTGTGTCAGCAGAACTTCACCAAATGAATTGCAGATGCTCTGCGGCATCTGCTGGTTACGTGGTGGAAAGCTGAACTTCCACTCAGGTTGGGTTTTACAGGACGGACGCCGATCTACTCCCTTATCAGCTCAGCAGCTTATCACAGCCGTGTACAGATAGGAAAAGATGTGCAGAGCCTGCACACGACGAGAGATGGTGACATGCCATGGAGTGGAATAACCAGGCAAACTGCTATCCTCAGCTCAGTAGAAAATGAAGTCAAATCTTCCAAAAATCTTTGAAAAAGCATTACCAGTGGTTGAATCGTGTTTTGTGGAAAAGCCAAGCTGTAAAAATGCCGCTTCTCTTGTTCGTAGTTACAAATAACTGGGCCCCATCACCATCGGTGCTGCACATCGGTTCCCGGCTCTTGGAGGAAGACCGGCTCGGATTCGTTCTCTGCCCTCCCCAGCTGTACCCGTTTGGGGCAGCTGGAAGGGGACCGGCAGTGCCGGATGACCAATCGTCTCTGGTATGTGCAAGCTCACACACCTTCCACACATCCTGCAATGTGCACTAACCAGCTGCACCTCTCTGCTTTTTTGGTGCTTCCAAACAAGCAACCAAGATCACCCTTCTACCTCAACGGAGCCGCCTGTACCCATCATTGTCTTTGTGGGGATGTTCCTAAAGAACACCCCTCTCTCCCTCCCCCATTTTACCCCCAAATAATAATAAAACCCTCAAATTAAAAAAAAAAAAAAAAAGGGTCTGCCAGAACTGTCCTTTTCTGGTTCTTCTCCAGCACTCTGCTGTACCGTCTGCTGCCTCACATCGTAGGCCATGGTAACTCATTCTCTTTCTTTGCATTATTTAGCACCTGGGAACATGGGTCGCCCAAGAAGAAAGAGATCCCTGTGGGATGACGGCATCCCTCTGCTTGGCGGGCCAGGGCTCCCTCGCAGCACGGTGGCAGAAACATGGTCAGTTTGCGGTCTCCATTATTGTGGCTTCAAGCAAACAACCAAGGCCTGAAGTTACAGGCTGGTGGGACCCGAACGCAACATGGCACAGGGGTAATGTTTGTTCCCATTTCAAGCCCCGGGAATCAGTTCAGCCCGGAGAATAGTCCTTGTACCAGTCCCAGGCCCTTCAGAGGTGTTCATGCCCACACCAAACTTTCTATTTTCAGAGGCAGTTTATTTCACATGGAAAACAGAACTGATTATTTTGACAAGAAGCTGATGTTCCTTGGAAGTTTTCTGGTGACTTGACACACATCCATCTTTGGATCTACGACTACCTTTCAGGTGTATCTTTTATCACAGCCGTGGGAAGCACAAGTGCATATATGTCACTTTGCGTTTTCACAAAGGTATGTTCACAGGGGTTTCCTCTGCCCTCCTTTCTGTCCTAAACTATCAGCTGTTCTGCAGGTCCTCTTCTGATCACAGCCTCATGCTTGTAAATCCTAGGAACAATTTTTCTCTGTTTTGGTCTGCATGAGAATTTTCTGCATTTAGTTTCTGGAAACAGAAAATAGCCTCAGGGCAGTTAGAGGGAAGGGTGACAGAAATGGTGAGGTGGAATCCCAGACATCCTCTGCTGAGTTACGTGAGGGGGTTGCACCCTGCGGACAGGGTCTTACAGACATCCAGACAAAGGAGATATATGTTGACCTGGAGGCCTGCCCTGCCTTGCACACAAGCCCCTCGTGGCTTTTTCACTCCTCACGTTAGCCCACTCTTATATTGACCCTGCAGGAGAAGGTTGCTGGCTTTGGGCGCCAATGATGTGCTCGCATGCTCCAACCATGTTTTAAAAAGAAATAACAGAGCTTATGTTCTAAATCCTACATTTTGGAAAGCCCAAGGATTCAGATGGGATGGCTAAGCCAAGCGTCCTCAAGTCCGAGTCAAATAGATGATACGGAATACCATCTGTGTCAGTCTGAAACTGCGCCTAGATCACAATCGGTGAAGACGCATTTGAACCAACTTTTGATGTAATCTTTCAAAAAAGAAAAAACCCCAAACTATCACCCGCAAAAAAAAACCCAACCAAAAAAACCATGGAGAAGCCACTGACGCAAAACTCCACGGTACTTAAATGCAGCTTGGCTGTCCACATCTACAGCACTCCAGGCAACAAGCAGCTTGAACACCAACCTCCAGCTCGCTTTCCGCCAAGTCAGCTGCTCTCCAAGCCCGCCATGAAACGCCGAGCAGGTGGGTGCGACTTAACCTCGCTACGCGTTGTAAGGTTGCACTGGTTGATGTTCATCGCTAGCTCAGCCACTTAACGTCTATACGCGTTAGAAATTTAGCATGCTGCACAAAACCAGGAAGTTTTGCAAAAATGATGTAGAGGCTTGAGACTAATCATTGTTTTCTTTCTTTTTTTTTTTTTTTTTTATTCCCCCCCTCTTCATTTGAACGCAGAGATCAACAGGTTTGCAATCCTTCTCCTCTGTTCAGTGGTTCCTTTGGGCTCCATGGCACCAACGGCTACCTCAGAAGAAAGCAAACCTACTACAGGACAGAGGCAGAAGCATTTTACTACCAGAATAAAGCCCTTAGCATCAGTGATAGAAAGACAAGCAACTACCTTGTTTAAAAACTATGTAAGTGTACTATTTTGCGTTTGCTGTGTCTATGTCTGTGGAGAAATCTCTTGAATTATTATAAAACACTAGAAAGACTATCAGAAGAGAAATATTTGGGTTAGAACCTAAAATAGTCTCTGCTCTGTATTCCATACAAGAAGGAAAGCATTTACATTGCATTATTTTAGGGCAGAGTTGGAGTAATGTCTAGGACAGCTGGGGAAAGCTCAGACAACTTTGCCTCAGCTACCTGCTAGCTATGATCTTCCAGACCAAATGCATTGTTCCTTCTCAGTCTCCTGAGCCATGCTAGCCTTGAAGCAGGCATCTTTTTGAATGAAACTGGTCAGATCACTGGAAACACGGAGAGAATTGCCTTGATTTTCGGTCTGATCCTAGTACTAGAGCAATCAGGAGCACTTTTGCCGAAATCCTGCTCAGTCCGTCCTTTCCTTGGAGATGGTAAAATGCGCACTGAACCCAAGGGTCAATGCTTCAGACAGATTTCAATTTCTGGGAACACGTTCCCAAGAGTACAGTGATAAAAATCAACGTAAACATTTCCCCCGAATTCAGTCTTGAAATCAAAACCATGTCTGCTGAAACAGATGAAAACATGCTCAGGTGAAAGCAAATCTCTTGCATGAGCAAATTTTGCCCATATTGAAAAGGAGAAAAAAAAAAAAAAAAAAAAAGAGAGCCTTAGAAAAGCTGAAAACAAAGCCAAGCAGACTTTTAAGATAGAAAGTACTGCATAATCATAGCCAGATAGTGTGCAATACCTACTCAATAAAAGGCACGTAGGTGTTAATACAGCTACTGAATAATAATAAAAAAAGCCCAAGCATACACAAACTGAAAGACAGGTGTGTATTCGCCTAGACATTCAAACAGGAAAGATGTAAACCAAAAGATTAATAATTTCTCTCTCCTCTTCCTCCCCTACAGAATGTGTGTAGCTCTGTAACGCCCAAAACTGAGAACTGGCTAATTGCTGACCCCCAAGCCAAAGCCATGGTGAAGATACCCAAATGCCCAGCTTTTGACGCAGATTGCTGCGCTTTCCACACTTTTTACAACATTTTACGAAACCTGAGAAGCGATATAGAATTAATCTGTGGTAAGAATTTAACTCGCTTCGTGGATGCAAATATCAATCAGCTAAATGTGACACTGAGTGAACGAGCTGCCTTTTATACCTGCAAGAATGAGGACCTCCCGCAGATGGATCATAGCCGGGTCCAGAGGATGAAAACGGCAGAGAAAAAGATGTATATCTGGTGGGTTTTACAGAAATATGATCAATTTATGCAAAATACAACAAAAATGTACTCCTCAGCAGAAATATAACATGCCAGGATGAAAAAATAACTTTAAGATAGTAGAGACTTGGCTAAATGTGACCCAGCAGTAGTTAGGTGATCAGTGTGATGCCAGGAACAACATTGATAATGTACTTGCTATTATACGTATTCTAACTATGTCATCTAGTCTAATTTAATATTTAAAGGATGAATGTCTTATTGATTGTATTTATTATAAAGCTATTTATAGTGGGTTTTTTTGCAACAGCATACAAAAAGGATGGACTGATGTGACTCAGGGTGATTTAATTAACCAATCATGATATAAACAAGCAAACAGGAAAGCACGATTTCAGTAATTTTAATGTTATTTATATTTTTATCTTGCAATTGTTTTTTCAAAACAAAAGTTGTCAGTAGGCTGATTTTCTAAGTCTTTCTTTGCTAGTGAATTCTATTTATGAATGTAATACTTCTATTTTTATAATTTATTTAAGCAATTACATAGTTTATATATATTTATCCAGAGTAAAAAGTTTTATATTTTAATACTGAAAGGGATGAATGAAATATTTGCTACTTAGTAGGTGAATTGTTTTACTCATTTTCTGTCATTGTATTTGGATAAAACATGGAATTTATTTAAAATGAGATTAAATAAAACTAATATTGCTGGACTCTTTTTACTACGCAATTATTTTTTACAATATTTTTGCACTGAAAACTTAGTGTTTTATTAAACAGCAAATTAACTAATTGTCTCTGGTCCTTACGTTAAAGATATTAGAAACATCACATATTCTCCTTTCCCATCAATTGTTATTCATAGACATGAAGTGGTTCTGTTTCTTAAGATCCCAACTAGTTTCTCCTTTGGCTCCACCAGTGGATAAATTGTTTTCTAATCAGTCCCCGCTTCTGAAGGCTGAATTATTGTGGCTTCTGCATCACAGCTCCAGAATCTGTTTTGGATTTACAAATTCTCATGGTTCACGGCCAGCACCAGCTCTGCTGGAAACATGCTGGATTAGCTCAGACACAACCACCACATCGAAATGTAACTGAGCTAATTATTGCTCCTGGAGCTGGTAACAGAGCAGAGATACTCAGATGGTCTGAGAGCAATAGGATTAGTCATATACTTGTTTTTCCTTTATTTTGTATCAACTCCTGATTATCCCAAATGATGTAAAGGTTAATAATAATACAATTATTTTAGTCTAAATTTCCATACAAAGTTCAAGCCAGTCTGAGCGTTAGAATCAGTTCCAAAATTAACATTATCTATTAAAAAAATCAGTTCCAAAAAATAACATTATTTATCTATAGAAAAATACAATTTGACCTGAAACACCCACTTAAAACACAAGTAAAGGATTGCTCCTCTTTCTGCTGCCATCCCCTACGTTCACCGATGGTGGTCCATACCAGCACACAGCCCTGTGCAAGGCTGACTTTGCTTAAGAGTACTCAGATTTGTGCTCTGAAGGCCCAGGGAACTGCAGCCGGATTGAGCCCTCTGCATCCCAGTGGCACCAGTGCTCCTTCTGTGCGAGGCTGTGAACAGCCGAAGAGGAACTGGAGCGAGGGGCTGTGGTATCAGTTCAACTCCTCCACCCTCCTTCCAAATCACTGCAATGCAAATACATCAGCATCCAATTCACCCTTCTGATGTGGTGGTTCTTCAAGATGGTGCCATTAGTGCCGATGCAGCTGTAGCTCTTCTTCCTCCCACTGCTGGAGAACCGGCCCTATTCTGCCCAGACCTCTCCGGGAAGAGTGGTTTGTTGACATCAACTGAGTCACTGCCCGATCCCCAAAAGCACCAGTCTTGGGGGGGTCCGAGAAAAGTATTCTAGTTTCCCAAGAGGAACAGAGGGACCAAGCTCCTTGCTGGAGCCAAGGGAAGAATTCCTCCCAAATGGAACCAATTTCA